AAGCCCAGCAAGGCAGGTTGGCGCGATAGGGCTACTACGTTGGTTTTGTTTTCAACGAGGAAGCCACGAAAGGCACCATCATGCGCCGTCTACTTCAGCAGCACGGAGAGCGCTTTACGAAGCGGCCAAAGTACTATCAAGTGAGGGTGGCAAGGAAAATAACTACACTGCTCCGGTGGTGTAACTTCCCTATCTATTCAGATAATGAGAACACCTACGCTGCTCCCGTGATGAACTTCCCCAGCCATTCATCGTCTCAGTACGTTGCTGCCGACGCATTACCACACCATGTACCCAGCTTCGTGGCGGCTAGCCACGTAGTAGCCCATAGCTATGGGACACCAGCAACGAATTCCAGCTTCTTTACATCTTCGTTGGCCTCTAGCTACGGTTGTGCTCCAACTGTACGCAATAACTACCCGGACAGTGTGGCACCGTTGCGTTAGTGGAATAACAGCACCTCGAGATGATACCCAGTTGGAATCCACACAGCTTCCGGCCACTCTTGAAGCGCCAGATTTCAACACGTTTATTGGTCGAAGTGATTCGTTTACTGAGATACTGCCGGTACCTCCAACTTCCGTGATTCTACCTACAACTACTGCTTACCCAAGTACGGATCCGTCATCAACTGCAGCAATTGAGAGGACGACGTCTGCATCTACTTTAAAAGAGAAGTTTCAGCTCGTATCCTTGCATGAGAGCAAGAAAACCGCTGGAGTAACGATGCGCAGTCGTGATGCCTACGTGTACGTCTATCACAACAATTACGGCAAGAAAGACAATCTGAAGAGAGTGGAGTACCGGTGTGAAAGTCACGAAAACCGTGCGTTTCGTTATCGAGTGGGCATCTACAAACCGGTTGATCCGCATCCGATCCTCGAGCAACAGATGTTTGCGCTGGAACAACAGGGACAACACAATGGTCGACCAACAAGTCGCTCTCAGTACGGGATCAACCGCTCTGTCAATGATGAAGTTGATTCTTTGGCAAGTAGTGGTGCTGGTCCAAATAAAATTCTGAAAGTTTTGTCAATGAAATATTCTGATCAACGCAATGTGTTGTGGAACATTCCGAGCGCAGAGCAGGTTAAAAGCCGAAAAAACTATTTGGCACAAGGATTGGAAGCGGCCTGGAAGATTGAGACGTTTGCAGACTTGTGCGAGTTATGCAGCACTCGGATGTGTGAGACAGCCGAAGACTTTTTCGGTAGGGGCCGTGGTAGTTACGAATTTGACATGCAGCATGACCAGGAGACCTTTCATTTGGAATCGCATGACTTCCAGAATGATACCATTGTGCTGAGCTGCTTTTCGCATTCGTTTCACGAGGATGGTAGGAGAAAGCAGAGTTTCGGACTTGTATTGACGTCTCGTAAGCTTTTACGGAATGTGGTATATGCTGTGCACGGGCAATCCAGAGACGG